CGGGCTGGGCCAGACTGGGCAGGGCCAGGCGCTTCTCGGTGCCCTGGGGGCTCTCGCTTGGCCCACGCTTAGAAGGAGCTTTATTCCTGCCGCACAAGCCGCTCCCCGGTAATTGTGGTGCCGTGCCGCCCGCCTTTAGCGTGCGCGTCCCAGGAACCGGGGTGGCCAGGGCACGGGCCTGTTCCCGGACGGTGCTTCCAGTGCCGGCTGGGGGGCGGAAAAACCTCCAGCACAGGCTGGCGCTCAGGGCCAGCACACACGCTCTGCCTGGCTTGGGGAACTCTTGTCAGCACACAGCCAGGCTTCGCAGCTGAGCTTCTTGGGAAAAGCAGCCCTCCTTGGGCACTGCTGTCCGTGTTCCTGCTGTGCCCGCAGCCTGTTTAACAGTCCAAAGATCACTGTGTCCTGCTCTGTTATCTTGTTACTGCATGTATGCTGTTTTCCAAGGAGAAAGTGAGCTGTATCTCATCCTTCAGTAGTCTTGTTGTGTTAGGAGCTTACAGCACTGACCTTGAGTGCAGCCAGTACCATAGCGCGTTTTATCTGTTACACTGCCACATTGCAAGCACTGTAACCCACAGGATCATAGATTTCTAGCCATAGCAAAGCCCATGTCTCAGCCACCTCTCCCCAGCTCCAGCTTCCCCTCTGTCTCTGCAGGCACATTTCCTGTCATGGTGAATGAGAGGCATAATGGCAACCTGCTTGTGCACCTGGGACCCAAACTGCAGGCCTACCCGGAGGAGCTGGTCGGGCAGCGGCAAGGCCACAACGGTCAGCCTGAGTACCTGATCCATTGGAGTATCGTCAGCTTGGAAGAGAGAGTGGTGGGAGGCAGCAGTGCCTCCTCTGCAGAGACCAAGCCGGAGAACATCCTGATGTGGATGTCTGCAGAAGAGGTCTGTGCCAGCTGCCCAACGCTGCTGGGCAAGAGGAAGCTGGAAGGGCAGTGGGTGAAAGAGGAGAAGGCAGCCAGCCCATTCGCTGCAGACGTCCCTCTGGATGAAGCCTCACTGCTGGAGATGAAGGCTGATGTCAGGAGCCTGGTGCAGCGAGCTGGGCGGCAGATGGCCGAGGCTGGGGCGCCGGGGGCCGCGCTCCT